TCTTCTCCTCCTCCTCCTCCTCCTCCTCCTCCTCCTCTTCCCCTTTCCCTGTCATTATTTCCTCTCCTCCTCCCCTTCGTCTCCTCGTGTCTCCTCTTTCTACCCCTCCGTCCGCTTGAACTGCCTCTCGCCGTGGTTTTCGCCTCCAGGAGGGGAGGGACTCAAGTGCAAGCGTCCCCATCTGTTGAGGTTGGTCAGGCTGGCCAGTGCCATGGAAGAGGAGGAGGAGAAGCAGGAGCAGGAACTACAGGAGGAACAGGAGGGGGAGCAGACGGCGTCGGGAGGCAGGTAGCACGACGAGGAAGAGAAGGACGACGACGACGCGGAGCAGGAGGATGGCGAGGAGGAGGAGGAGGAGGAGCAAGAGGAGGAGGGCGAGGAGGAGGAGGAGGAGGAGGATCACAACAAGGAAGAGGGGGAGGAGGAAGGAGGAGGAGGAGAAGGAGGAGGAGGAGGAGGAGGAAGAAGAAGAGACAGACGAAGAGGAGGAGAGAGGAGGAGGAGAGGAGGAGGAGGAGGAGGAGGAGGAGGAGGAGGAGGAGGGAGGAGGAGGAGGAGCAAAAGGAGCAAGAGAAGGAGGAGGAACAGGAAGAGGAGTAGGAATAGGAGAGGAGGAGGAGGAGCAGCAGGAGGAGGAAGAGGAAGAGGAAGAGGAGGAGGTGAGGAGGAGGAAGGGGAGGAGGAGAAGGAGGAGGAGGAGGAGGAAGAGGAGGAGGAGGAGGAGGAGGAAAAGGGGCAATGAGGAGGAGGGTGGGGATAAGGAAGACTGGGAGCAGGGGCAGCATGCGGCGGAGGCGGCGGAGGCCGAGGCGAACGACACACCACAGGGGAGGGGGGGGCCGGGAGAAGCCGCCCAGGGCCGCCTCCCGCTGCTGCTCGGCGGCGGCGGGCGGCGGCGGTGGGGAGCTCGGGCTGGGGAGCGCGGCGACTACAGAGGGTGCGCGGCTTCGGTCGGAGGCGCCGATCGGGGCGAATAGCCCGAGTTTGGCGCGGCGGGCCCTGCCAGGTCAGCGCGTCCGACGGCGAAGGCTCGGCGCCCCCCTCCCATGTTGACTTTGGTCTGTTGTGCGCGAGTCCCTTCGGATCCTGGGGGCCCAAGGTTTTCGCGCCGCCCTCACCCCCGCAGGCAAAGGGCATGGCTGCGCCCGCCACGGGTCAAGATCTATCTCGGCGAGATCTCAGATCACGCCCGCGCGGCCTATTCCCCCGCCTGCAACCAAGGGCGCGTGGACGATGCCACACGGGCGCTGCACGGCAATCATACGTAACGAGTGCATCACCCAGCCGTCTGCCGCGAGCACGAGGGCGCGTGGGCGCGCGTGGCTGACGAGAGTGATGTGAAGCTGGGCGGGGAGATCACGGGCTGCGTCGAGAGCGACGCCCCCCACCCCGCCCATCCAGAGCAGGCAGCGCGTTCGAGGCCTCGGCGTCAACGCTGACGCGGGGCAGAGGCGCTCCGCGCATTCGCTCCAGTGGAGGCGGGCCATCGCTTTGAAATGCAAGAAGGTTCGGCTTGTGCCCGAGCTGCTGTGGCGAGCTTGCGCGCCTGATAAACCTGGGGCTCTTGCTGTCGGACCCTGGGGCCACGGGGTTCTCGGCTTGCATCCTGCCCAGGTCCAATCCATGAGAGCTCAAGCTGCCGCGCGCTCTGGGTGGTAGGCCGCTGGCGCGTGCAGCACTGCCGTGGTGGGCCTGTCTAGTGGTGCGAAAGAGGACCCTCAGTTCCGTCTCGGGCGCGAGGAGTTGAAAAGAATCACAAGCCCCGGAACGATCCCGATGATACAGCGAGGACGCAGCGCGCGGAGGCATCACAGATTGAGCTGGGCGAGTGTAGGAGACTTTCACATCGGTGGCAGGCTGCGACGGGATCCACTTCTGCGACCCCGGCGGTCGCCTCGCACCTCAGGCCCGGCCCCCGCCCCCCCTGCGCGGCCGTCGCTGCCCAGACTGGTGCGTGGGCTTGTCTTCCACCACCACAACCAGCAGTAGGAGGGGGAGGGGCACCTCCTCCTCCTCCTCCTCCTCCTCCTCCTCCTCCTCCTCCTCTTCGTCCACCTCCTCCTCTTCGTCCACCTCCTCCAGGCGCGCTGGCGAAGGGGGCGAGGGCGAGTTCAGCGGGCGCCGGCCGTCCTTCTGCGAGCGTTTTTGTTCCTTGCTTCGGCGCTTCGACGTCGGGCGAGAGGGGCGGGGGGTCTGGCTCCGGACCTCTGCGCGGCGCGACCGTTCGAAGCGGCACCTCGTTGGGGAAACCTCAGGAGGGGAAAAAACACACAGACACAATTAATCGGCGATTCCCAGAAAATATGAGAAAATATGGGAATGGAGGGGGAAGACAAAAACCCAGAAAATATGGAAAATATAGGGGATATTTTTAATTGTGTGTATTTATTTGTGTGTCCCAGTTCCCCTTCAAAACCTCCAGGGGGAAGCAGACCGGGGAGTCTTGCGGAAGGAACCCCCGGCGAGAAATTTTACGGGGGCATCCGATGGGGGGGACTTCTGGGGGGGTCCTTCGGTGGAGCCCGATTCCAATGAGAGTCGGTTTGGAATCCGATTTGGATCTGCTGGGTTCGCAACCCCAGGGAATCCCGCAAGATCTGGCCACCCCCAGGCGTGCTTTTGTCGGCAGCGCATCCGGCGCCCTGGAGCCCCGCATTTCTTTCTCCCGAGGGCCGCCCCGGAAACGAAATGCACACTTGCGCGAAGCAGCGGTTCGCGCGCCTACTGTCCACCAGGGGGGGGGGCGGGGCCCCCGCGCTCGCCCCGCATGCTTGAAGCGCGCGCCGAAAACAGCCAAGATCTACTCCATGAGGGGGGCCGTGAGGAGGAGGAGGAGGAGGAGGAGGAGGAGGAGGAGGAGGAGGGGGAGGAGGAGGGGGAGGAGGAGGCGGAGGAGGAGAATCGATGTTTACGATCGCGTGATCAATGCGCACCAACACCGCGCCCAGGCCTCCGCCCAGGCCCACGGGGGGCGCGCGAGGGCCCGCGCCGAGCGGCAGAACGAGGGATGAGAGAGCGGCGGGCGGCGGCGGGCAGAACAGCAGCCCACGTCGTCGCCGCCCGCCTCGTCGCCGCCAGGCCGCCGGCGGGCCCAACCCGTCGCCCCCCCTTCTGCCATCTCGCGGGGCAGCGTTGCCCGGCATTCCTGCGGGGCTGCGCCGCGGGGAAGGGGTCGATGTCATGGGCGCTGGGAGCCTTCGCGCCACAAGCTCGCGCGAGATGGGGAAGCGCGAGGTTTCAGGCATCCCGACGAGCGTGCTGACCGCGGGCTCCTGGCCTGAGGGCAGGCTGTGCACGGCGCTGGCTGTGCGTCCGCAACCGCTGGAGTTTGTAGCAGGTGCTGCGCCTGAGCAGGGACCCCCGTCAACCATTACTGGAGGTGTCACTGCTGCGACTTCCATCGCGATCATTCGATCGAGAACTCTGGACAAGCTGGCCGACGCCGCCGTGGCCGAAAAACTTGTGAGGCGCGTGTTTGGGTGCCGCGGGCTGCCCCTCTGAAAGACGTCCGCGGGCCATTTCCCGCCGCCTCCGGGAGCTCTCCTGGGTTCGGGGTTGTTCTCTGGGGGAGGAGAGGATGAGAGGAGGAGTCTGGGCCCAGACATGATGGCGTCGCGAAAAAAATCAGGACGGGAGGTTTTTCGCTATTCTCGGCCCCGGGAGGCCCTCGCCGGGCCTCGGGACCCTCAAAAAACGACTCTGGACGAAAAACCGGCCCCGGGGAAAGGGTCGGGACGTCCAGGGACGCCGTTCTGAAAACATCAGGACGTCGCATGTCTGGGGGGCATCGGCGGATCGGGGGAGGGGTGAAGGGTTGGCGCCTGCGCAGGTGCGGCTGGTCCTCTGTCCACTGAGGTGCTGATGGAAGTGATGATGCTGTCAGCTGCGGCCCTTGTACAGTGAGCGGCTTGAGTAAGGAACACTTGCTTTTCAAAAGGGGCTCGGTCGTTCCTTAGATTTTACATGCGTCATTTACAGTTCCTTGTGCGTTATTTGTTATGTATCGTTCCTTATGCGCTTTTCCCTGGGATAAAACTGGGCCTCGTATCTTATTTCTCGTTCCTTGGGTCAACGCCCCGACTGCACCCCTGCGCGCGCCAGTCTTCCCCGCGAGCCGAGCGCTTCGCCTTCGTCCAGCTGGCCATGGCCACCACCGGAGACGTCCGAGC